CCCTAATGGAACATCTTCGCCGGTTTAGAAACATTTAGGCTGGCCTGCCTACGATCCATCCTGGGTTTAACCAGACTGGATTGTGTGAGGAGCTCACAAATCCTTGAAAGATCTGGGCAGGGTCCCATCGGTGAGCTCCTCCGGCAGGCAAGGCTGCGATGGCTGGGTCATGTAGCCCGCATGCCCAGCCACCGCATGCCGAAACAGCTTTTGTTGGCCGGATTGAGGGGGCTAAACTGGCGCGGCACGGGCTAGAGAAGAGATGGAGTGATTGTGGTACAGGAGGACGTGGAGCTGAGTGGACTTGCCGATGACTGGTACCAGCGGTGTCAAGATCGGCCTCTGTGGAGGAGGCTCGTGAAGGATTGCTACTGGCAGTTGGAGGCAGTCGCCCTCCAACAACAACGGAGGGCGGAGGAGCGACGCTCACAACAACGAGCGGAGCGCTGGGGGCTCAAGCACAGCAGGGTGGCACAGTAGGGGGCACAGGTGGTGCATCAGCACAGTCATCTCAGTCAGTCGACCCGTGGTACCTGGGTCTGCCAGTGACCTCCTGCCAGCGGGCGTTCGACACTTCACGTGGCCTCAGGGTGCACATAGCCTGGCACAAGCGTCGTGGTGACGTCACCGCCAACTTAGTGGCGAATGGCGGTTGTTGTTGTGTGTGTCTGTGTCTCTCAGTGCTGTGTGTCTATCAGTGCTGTGTGTGTGTGTCAGTGCTGTGCTGTGTGTGTGTGTCAGTGCTGTGTGTGTGTGTCTGTGTGTGTGTGTGTATATATCAGTGCTGTGTGTGTGTGTATCAGTGCTGTGTGTGTCTATCAGTGCTGTGTGTGTGTGTGTGTATCAGTGCTGGTGTGTGTCTGTGTGTGTGTGTGTCTGTGTGTGTGTCTATCAGTGCTGTGTCTATCAGTGCTGTGTGTGTCTGTGTGTGTGTCTGTGTGTGTGTCTCCCAGAGCGGTGAGGATCACCCCTCGGTGCAGCGCTTGAAGCGCTACCTGGTTGCGTGTGGGGTGCGCTGTCACTACAGCAAGCTGCTTGGTGACTGCCACTCACGATCGGCACGAATTCGCAGGCTGCAGGAAGAGCTGCACCAAGCCGGGATGACCGGTACGGAGAGACACACGGGGAGAGAGACACGGGGAGAGAGAGACACGGGGAGAGAGACACGGAGAGAGAGTGAGAGACACGGGGAGAGAGAGACACAGAGAGAGAGAGAGAGACACGGGGAGAGAGAGACACGGGGAGCGAGAGAGAGACACGGGGAGAGAGACACGGGGAGAGAGAGACACGGGGAGAGAGAGAGAGAGACGGGGAGAGACACGGGGAGAGAGAGGCATGGAGAGAGAGAGACACGGGGAGAGAGAGAGAGATATACGGAGAGAGAGACACGGGGAGAGAGAGAGAGACACGGGGAGAGAGAGGCACAGAGAGAGAGACACGGGGAGAGAGAGAGAGATACGGAGAGAGAGACACGGGGAGAGAGAGACACGGGGAGAGAGAGATACGGAGAGAGAGAGACACGGGGAGAGAGACACGGGGAGAGAGAGACACGGGGAGAGAGAGAGAGACACGGGGAGAGAGAGAGAGACACGGGGAGAGAGAGAGAGACACGGGGAGAGAGAGAGAGAGAGAGACACGGGGAGAGAGAGACACGGGGGGGGAGAGAGAGAGAGAGACACGGGGAGAGAGAGACAGAGACACGGGGAGAGAGAGATACGGGGAGAGAGAGACACGGGGAGAGAGAGAGACACGGGGAGAGAGAGGCACGGAGAGAGAGAGACACGGGGAAGAGAGAGAGATACGGAGAGAGAGACACGGGGAGAGAGAGACACGGGGAGAGAGAGACACGGAGAGAGAGAGAGATACGGAGAGAGAGAGAGACACGGGGAGAGAGAGGGACATGGAGAGAGAGAGAGAGACACGGGAGAGAGAGAGAGAGAGACACGGGGAAGAGAGACACGGGGAGAGAGAGACACGGGGAGAGAGAGACACGGGGAGAGAGAGACACGGGAGAGAGGGAGAGACACGGGGAGAGAGAGGCACGGAGAGAGAAAGACACGGGGAGAGAGAGAGATACGGAGAGAGACACGGGGAGAGAGAGACACGGGGAGAGAGAGACACGGGGAGAGAGAGACACGGAGAGAGAGACACGGGGAGAGAGACACGGAGAGAGAGAGACACGGGGTGAGAGAGACACGGGAGAGAGAGAGAGACACGGGAGAGAGAGAGAGAGAGACACGGGGAGAGAGAGAGCGAGACACACAGGGAGAGAGACACGGGGAGAGAGAGACACGGGGAGAGACATGGAGAGAGAGACACGGGGAGAGAGAGACACGGAGAGAGAGAGACACGGGGAGAGAGAGAGATACGGAGAGAGAGAGAGACACGGGAAGAGAGACACGGGGAGAGAGACACACGGGGAGAGAGAGACACGGGGAGAGAGAGAGACACGGGGAGAGAGAGGCACGGGGGGAGAGAGAGAGAGAGACACGGGGAGAGAGAGACACGGAGAGAGAGAGAGAGACACGGGGAGAGAGAGAGATACGGAGAGAGAGAGAGAGACACGGGGAGAGAGACACGGAGAGAGAGAGACACGGGGAAGAGACAGAGAGAGAGACACGGAGAGAGAGAGACATGGAGAGAGAAGACTCGGGGAGAGAGAGAGAGACACGGGGAGAGAGACACGGAGAGAGAGAGGGACATGGAGAGAGAGAGAGACACGGGGAGAGAGAGAGACACGGAGAGAGAGACACGGGGAGAGACACGGAGAGAGAGACACGGGGAGAGAGACACGGGGAGAGAGAGACACGGAGAGATTGAGAGAGAGAGAGAGACACGGGGAGAGAGAGAGAGACACGGGGAGAGAGACACGGGGAGAGAGAGACACGGAGGGATACAGAGAGAGACACGGGGAGAGAGAGACACGGGGAGAGAGAGACACGGGGAGAGAGAGATAAGGTGAGAGAGACACGGGGAGAGATACACGGGGAGAGAGAGACACGGAGGGATACAGAGAGAGACACGGGGAGAGAGAGACACGGAGAGAGAGAGAGACACGGGGAGAGAGAGACACGGGGAGAGAGACACGGAGGGATACAGAGAGAGACACGGGGAGAGAGAGACACGGGGAGAGAGACACGGGGAGAGATACACGGGGAGAGAGAGACACGGAGGGATACAGAGAGAGACACGGGGAGAGAGAGACACGGGGAGAGAGAGACACGGGGAGAGAGAGACACGGGGAAATAGAGACAACGGGCAGAGAGAGTAATTGGTGAGTGACTGGTGAGTAATTGGTGAGTGACTGGTGAGTAATTGGTGAGTGACTGGTGAGTAATTGGTGAGTAATTGGTGAGTGATTGGTGAGTAATTGGTGAGTGACTGGTGAGTGACTGGTGAGTAATTGGTGAGTAACTGGTGAGTGACTGGTGAGTAATTGGTGAGTAATTGGTGAGTGATTGGTGAGTAACTGGTGAGTGACTGGTGAGTGACTGGTGAGTAACTGGTGAGTGACTGGTGAGTAATTGGTGAGTGACTGGTGAGTAATTGGTGAGTACTGGTGAGTAACTGGTGAGTGACTGGTGAGTAATTGGTGAGTGACTGGTGAGTGATTGGTGAGTGACTGGTGAGTAATTGGTGAGTGACTGGTGAGTAATTGGTGAGTAATTGGTGAGTGACTGGTGAGTAATTGGTGAGTAATTGGTGAGTAACTGGTGAGTGACTGGTGAGTGACTGGTGAGTAATTGGTGAGTAATTGGTGAGTTACTGGTGAGTGACTGGTGAGTAACTGGTGAGTCATTGGTGAGTGACTGGTGAGTGACCGGTGAGTAATTGGTGAGTGACTGGTGAGTGATTGGTGAGTGACTGGTGAGTGACTGGTGAGTAATTGGTAAGTAACTGGTGAGTGACTGGTGAGTAATTGGTAAGTAACTGGTGAGTGACTGGTGAGTGATTGGTGAGTGACTGGTGAGTAATTGGTGAGTAATTGGTGATTGACTGGTGAGTAATTGGTGAGTAATTGGTGAGTGTACCAGTGGTGAGGATGATGTTTCTAGTGTCCAGCTCCGTGTGTGTACGAGTGAGTGAGTGGATGAGTTGGTGAGTGAGTGGGTGATTGAGTGAGTGGGTGAGTAATTGGTGAGTAATTGGTGAGTGACTGGTGAGTAACTGGTGAGTAATTGGTGAGTAATTGGTGAGTGACTGGTGAGTAACTGGTGAGTGACTGGTGAGTAATTGGTGAGTGACTGGTGAGTGACTGGTGAGTAATTGGTGAGTAACTGGTGAGTAACTGGTGAGTGACTGGTGAGTAACTGGTGAGTAACTGGTGAGTAACTGGTGAGTGACTGGTGAGTAATTGGTGAGTGACTGGTGAGTAATTGGTGAGTGACTGGTGAGTAACTGGTGAGTAACTGGTGAGTAACTGGTGAGTAATTAGTGAGTAACTGGTGAGTAATTGGTGAGTAACTGGTGAGTAACTGGTGAGTAATTGGTGAGTAACTGGTGAGTAATTGGTGAGTGACTGGTGAGTAACTGGTGAGTAATTGGTGAGTGACTGGTGAGTAACTGGTGAGTAACTGGTGAGTAATTGGTGAGTAACTGGTGAGTGACTGGTGAGTAACTGGTGAGTAACTGGTGAGTAATTGGTGAGTAACTGGTGAGTAACTGGTGAGTAATTGGTGAGTAATTGGTGAGTGACTGGTGAGTAACTGGTGAGTAACTGGTGAGTAATTGTGAGTGACTGGTGAGTGACTGGTGAGTAATTGGTGAGTGACTGGTGAGTAACTGGTGAGTAATTGGTGAGTAATTGGTGAGTAATTGGTGAGTGACTGGTGAGTAATTGGTGAGTGACTGGTGAGTAACTGGTGAGTAATTGGTGAGTAATTGGTGAGTAACTGGTGAGTAATTGGTGAGTAATTGGTGAGTGACTGGTGAGTAATTGGTGAGTAACTGGTGAGTAATTGGTGAGTGACTGGTGAGTAATTGGTGAGTGACTGGTGAGTAACTGGTGAGTAATTGGTGAGTAATTGGTGAGTAATTGGTGAGTAACTGGTGAGTAACTGGTGAGTAATTGGTGAGTAATTGGTGAGTAATTGGTGAGTAACTGGTGAGTAATTGGTGAGTGACTGGTGAGTAATTGGTGAGTGACTGGTGAGTAATTGGTGAGTGAGTGGTGAGTAATTGGTGAGTAATTGGTGAGTGTACCAGTGGTGAGGATGATGTTTCTAGTGTCCAGCTCCGTGTGTGTACGAGTGAGTGAGTGGATGAGTTGGTGAGTGGGTGAGTGAGTAGTGAGTGGATGAGTGAGTGGGTGAGTGAGGTGGTGAGTGATTGGTGAGTGACTGGTGAGTAACTGGTGAGTAATTGGTGAGTAACTGGTGAGTAACTGGTGAGTAATTGGTGAGTAATTGGTGAGTGACTGGTGAGTAACTGGTGAGTAACTGGTGAGTGACTGGTGAGTGAGTGGTGAGTGACTGGTGAGTAACTGGTGAGTGACTGGTGAGTGAGTGGTGAGTAACTGGTGAGTAACTGGTGAGTAACTGGTGAGTAACTGGTGAGTAACTGGTGAGTAACTGGTGAGTTTCCTCACCGCACAGGGAAGCCCACACTGGAGAAGTGTCGGAGGCTGAAGGCAAAACGAGAGGAGGCAGCAGAGGTGGCGGAGCTGGACACTAGAAACATCATCCTCACCACTGGTACACTCACCAATTACTCACCAATTACTCACCAATTACTCACCACTCATACACTACTCACTCACCACTCACTCACCCACTCACTCACCCACTCACTCACCCACTCACTCATCCACTCATTACTCACTCACCACTCACTCACCACTCACTCGTACACACACGGAGCTGGACACTAGAAACATCATCCTCACCACTGGTACACTCACCAATTACTCACCAATTACTCACCAATTACTCACCACTCACTCACCACTCACTCACCCACTCACTCACCCACTCATCCACTCACTCATCCACTCACTCACTCGTACACACACGGAGCTGGACACTAGAAACATCATCCTCACCACTGGTACACTCACCACTGGTACACTCACCACTGGTACACTCACCAGTTACTCACCAATTACTCACCACTCACTCACCCACTCACTCACCCACTCACTCACCCACTCACTCACCCACTCATCCACTCACTCATCCACTCACTCACTCGTACACACACGGAGCTGGACACTAGAAACATCATCCTCACCACTGGTACACTCACCACTGGTACACTCACCACTGGTACACTCACCAGTTACTCACCAGTTACTCACCACTCACTCACCACTAACTCACCCACTCATTACTCACTCATCCACTCACTCATCCACTCATCCACTCACTCATCCACTCACTACTCACACACTCACTCGTACACACACGGAGCTGGACACTAGAAACATCATCCTCACCACTGGTACACTCACCAATTACTCACCAATTACTCACCACTCACTCACCACTCACTCACCCACTCACTCACCCACTCATCCACTCACTCATCCACTCACTCACTCGTACACACACGGAGCTGGACACTAGAAACATCATCCTCACCACTGGTACACTCACCAGTTACTCACCAGTTACTCACCAATTACTCACCCACTCACTCACCCACTCACTCACCCACTCACTCATCCACTCATTACTCACTCACCACTCACTCACCACTCACTCACCACTCACTCGTACACACACGGAGCTGGACACTAGAAACATCATCCTCACCACTGGTACACTCACCACTGGTACACTCACCAATTACTCACCACTCACTCACCAATTACTCACCACTCACTCACCCACTCACTCGTACACACACGGAGCTGGACACTAGAAACATCATCCTCACCACTGGTACACTCACCACTGGTACACTCACCAGTTACTCACCAATTACTCACCAATTACTCACCACTCACTCACCACTCACTCGTACACACACGGAGCTGGACACTAGAAACATCATCCTCACCACTGGTACACTCACCACTGGTACACTCACCACTGGTACACTCACCAGTTACTCACCAATTACTCACCAATTACTCACCACTCACTCACCACTCACTCGTACACACACGGAGCTGGACACTAGAAACATCATCCTCACCACTGGTACACTCACCACTGGTACACTCACCAATTACTCACCACTCACTCACCAATTACTCACCACTCACTCACCCACTCACTCGTACACACACGGAGCTGGACACTAGAAACATCATCCTCACCACTGGTACACTCACCACTGGTACACTCACCACTGGTACACTCACCAATTACTCACCACTCACTCACCACTCACTCACCAACTCACACACTCACTCATCCACTCACTCACCAACTCACACACTCACTACTCACTCATCCACTCACACACTCACTCCCTCGTACACACACGGAGCTGGACACTAGAAACATCATCCTCACCACTGGTACACTCACTAGTTACTCACCAATTACTCACCACTCACTCACCACTAACTCACCACTCACTCACTCGTACACACACGGAGCTGGACACTAGAAACATCATCCTCACCGCTGGTACACTCACCAGTTACTCACCAATTACTCACCACTCACTCACTCGTACACACACGGAGCTGGACACTAGAAACATCATCCTCACCACTGGTACACTCACCAGTTACTCACCAGTTACTCACCACTCACTCACTACTCACTCACTCACTCATCCACTCACTCACTCGTACACACACGGAGCTGGACACTAGAAACATCATCCTCACCACTGGTACACTCACCAATTACTCACCAGTTACTCACCCACTCATCCACTCACTCATCCACTCATTACTCACTCATCCACTCACTCATCCACTCATCCACTCACTCATCCACTCACTACTCACACACTCACTCGTACACACACGGAGCTGGACACTAGAAACATCATCCTCACCACTGGTACACTCACCACTGGTACACTCACCACTGGTACACTCACCACTGGTACACTCACCACTGGTACACTCACCAATTACTCACCACTCACTCACCACTAACTCATCCACTCACTCATCCACTCACTCATCCATCCACTCACTCACTCGTACGCACACGGAGCTGGACACTAGAAACATCATCCTCACCACTGGTACACTCACCACTGGTACACTCACCAGTTACTCACCAATTACTCACCACTCACTCATCCACTCACTCACTCATCCACTCACCCACTCACTCATCCACTCACCAACTCACACACTCACTCACTCGTACACACACGGAGCTGGACACTAGAAACATCATCCTCACCACTGGTACACTCACCAGTTACTCACCAGTTACTCACCAATTACTCACCACTCACTCACCACTCACTCACCAACTCACTCATCCACTCATCCACTACTCACTCATCCACTCATCCACTCACTCATCCACTCATCCACTCACTCACCAACTCACTCACTCACTCACTCGTACACACACGGAGCTGGACACTAGAAACATCATCCTCACCACTGGTACACTCACCACTGGTACACTCACCAGTTACTCACCAATTACTCACCACTCATCCACTCACTCACTCATCTACTCACCCACTCACTCATCCACTCACCAACTCACACACTCACTCGTACACACACGGAGCTGGACACTAGAAACATCATCCTCACCACTGGTACACTCACCAATTACTCACCAATTACTCACCACTCATCCACTCACTCACTCATCCACTCATCCACTCACTCACCCACTCACTCATCCACTCATTACTCACTCACTCACTCGTACACACACGGAGCTGGACACTAGAAACATCATCCTCACCACTGGTACACTCACCACTGGTACACTCACCACTGGTACACTCACCAGTTACTCACCAATTACTCACCAATTACTCACCACTCACTCACCAACTCACTCATCCACTCACTCATCCACTCATCCACTCACTCACCAACTCACACACTCACTCACTCGTACACACACGGAGCTGGACACTAGAAACATCATCCTCACCACTGGTACACTCACCAGTTACTCACCAATTACTCACCAATTACTCACCACTCACTCATCCACTCACTCACCCACTCATCCACTCAATCACCAACTCACACACTCACTCACTCGTACACACACGGAGCTGGACACTAGAAACATCATCCTCACCACTGGTACACTCACCACTTACTCACCAATTACTCACCAATTACTCACCAATTACTCACCACTCACTCACCCACTCACTCACTCATCCACTCATCCACTCACTCGTACACACACGGAGCTGGACACTAGAAACATCATCCTCACCACTGGTACACTCACCAATTACTCACCAATTACTCACCACTTACTCACCACTCACTCACCAACTCACTCATCCACTCACTCATCCACTCATTACTCACTCATCCACTCACTACTCACTCACTCGTACACACACGGAGCTGGACACTAGAAACATCATCCTCACCACTGGTACACTCACCACTTACTCACCAATTACTCACCAATTACTCACCAATTACTCACCACTCACTCACCCACTCACTCACTCACTCATCCACTCATCCACTCACTCGTACACACACGGAGCTGGACACTAGAAACATCATCCTCACCACTGGTACACTCACCAATTACTCACCAATTACTCACCACTTACTCACCACTCACTCACCAACTCACTCATCCACTCACTCATCCACTCATTACTCACTCATCCACTCACTACTCACTCACTCGTACACACACGGAGCTGGACACTAGAAACATCATCCTCACCACTGGTACACTCACCACTGGTACACTCACCAGTTACTCACCAATTACTCACCAATTACTCACCACTCACCAACTCACACACTCATTACTCACTCATCCACTCACTACTCACTCACCAACTCACACACTCACTCGTACACACACGGAGCTGGACACTAGAAACATCATCCTCACCACTGGTACACTCACCAGTTACTCACCAATTACTCACCACTCACTCACCACTCACTCACCAACTCACGCATCCACTCATTACTCACTCATCCACTCACTCACTCACTCGTACACACACGGAGCTGGACACTAGAAACATCATCCTCACCACTGGTACACTCACCACTGGTACACTCACCAATTACTCACCAATTACTCACCACTCACTCACCACTCACTCACCAACTCACTCATCCACTCATTACTCACTCATCCACTCACTCACTCACTCGTACACACACGGAGCTGGACACTAGAAACATCATCCTCACCACTGGTACACTCACCACTCACTCACCACTCACTCACCACTCACTCACCCACTCACTCATCCACTCATTACTCATCCACTCACTCACTCACTCGTACACACACGGAGCTGGACACTAGAAACATCATCCTCACCACTGGTACACTCACCACTCACTCACCACTCACTCACCACTCACTCACCACTCACTCACCCACTCACTCATCCACTCATTACTCACTCATCCACTCACTCACTCACTCGTACACACACGGAGCTGGACACTAGAAACATCATCCTCACCACTGGTACACTCACCACTGGTACACTCACCAATTACTCACCAATTACTCACCACTCACTCACCACTCACTCACCACTCACTCACCCACTCACTCACCCACTCATCCACTCACTCATCCAC